TCCCCTCCTCTCTCTCTCTCTCTCTCTCTCTCTCTCTCTCTCTCTCTCTCTCTCTCTCTCTCTGTGTGTGTGTGTGTGAGAGAGAGAGAGAGAGAGACTCGTCCTATATGGAATTCTGATGGAAATATTTTTTTCTCTTTGTGTTTCCAGAGATGCTTCCACCTCCTTTAAATGTCAGCAACATCCTCACCAGGTTCCTCCGAGGTAAAAACCCACTGTTGAAGGGCCCAGGGGCTACCTGGAGTGTTGGGGAGAGGCCAAGGAACTAAGAAAGTTACCAAAGATATATGCATCAAATGGTACCTACACAGGCTGCAAAACTGACCTGGAATCCATAGCTTCCAAGTCGGGATTGTGTTCAGAATACCTCTAGGAAGTCTTTAAGGTTAGAGTCTCAGGATCCACTCATAGTTATTAAATCATACTCTCTGGGAATGAATCCTGGGGACCTGTGTGTTTTCCAGGGCCCAGTGGAGTAGAACATTTGCCTAGTATTGGGGCCCTGGGTTCAATCTCCATTATTACCACAACAACTAAAAGTCCAAAAGTGCCTCAGGTCTGGTTTGGTAACCACTAACAGGAATCGCCATGAACCCATGAGCAAAGAGCATTCAGTGCCCAGTGACAATTGGCAGCCAACAATAAGGTCGCCACGGCAAATGGCGCCCCAGGAAACAGAACTATTGCAGGAAACATTTTTCAAGCATTCGAATTAGTGTCAAAAAGATCCAAGAACAAGCTGCATTAAAAGAGCAGGCGGCTCCCCTTTCCTGCCTGACTCCTGCACACTCAGGTGACAGTCACGGGTCTTACAGCCAATTCATTTGATAGCCATCATGCCCAACGGGAAGCCACAGCCAGGCTGGAGGAGCCACGCCCTGCTGGGACTGGACCCTCCCCTCCTCCAGTCTGGAAGAGACTTTTAGTTGAACGAAAGATCACAGAGTAAATGCAAAGAAATATTCGAGTCACACCAGCAGTGAAAGGGCTGTTTTACAAAACTGTACACACAGAACCATGCGGCCTTTGTTAAGACTAGGAAGGAGCCGTTGAGGATACCTAGAACATAAAGTAAAATGGCTTTTAAACTTTTGTATGGGGACCTGGAAAAGGTGATAGCTCTCTGACCCTGTCTCATCTGGAAATCTCCCTTGTCTTGGAGAGCCCTGTGTCCCTCTGGAGTTAAAAGGATTGGCTTGTAGGGTTTGGGAACATTAAATGAAACAATGCAGGTGACACACTGGACACACAGGTGACACCAGTGAGCGTTCAACCAACGGGTGGCTAGTGAATTTCTCTTTTTTGGTCTTCCAGCACCAGGACTGGTGAGGTCCAGCTGCCAAGCTGCAGCCAGTTTCTAGGAATCCACCCAGTGCGTTTCCATGACTCCTTCTGCTCCTGGGGGGAGAGGGGCTCAAGCTGCTTAGAGCCAAATGTGCTGTGCTGGAATAACCTGGAGAGCAGGGAAGCCAAGAACACTTCTGGAGGGTCTTCCTCCGTGAGTGCTCTGCCTTTGAAAGCTAGGTAACGTCCGGTTTTGCGGCAGTAACCACTCCAGCTTCATAAAGAAGTTGTATATGAGTTACAACAGCATTGGCGGGAAGGTGAGCTAGAGAGAGACTCTCCTCTCAGCTTTTCTCATTCTGCAGAGGAGGAACAAGCCCCTCCTGACGGGGAGAAAATTAAGAGCTGTTCAGAACTATGTTCTGGGGAAGGGGTACAATCCTCACTATAGTTCCTTGGAAGGCTAGGTTTGCACAGACCTTTGGGACAGCTGTTGGCTGTCTGGGATTTGGAGGAACAGAGAGTCTGCAACTTTGGGGCTTATAGGCCCTACTGCCCTTTTCTGTTCCCCGTAGCCTTCATACTCTCCTAAGATCTGTCTTGGAGAAGACTGCCTCCATCACACTGACTGTGGGTTAGATATCCAACGAGAGTAGTTAGATACCGCCTCCAAAGGGGACCTGAGCTAACCCTTCTATCTAGTCCCTGAGCCAAAGGAACCGGGTGACTGAGCTGTCTCAACAGAGTAAACTAGACCCTGATTTAACCTGAGCGCTGGCTAATGGGGAGCTCCGTGGTTACAAGACAGGCCTCTCTGAAAGATGAACTGGGGCATGATTATTCCAGCCAAGTGAGGCAGAACCAACTGCAGCTGGCAGCAAGCGGCCGGGCAGCAGGTGGTGTCCATTGACTTGCTGAGCCTGGAGGAAGGGACCAAAGAAGGTGTCCGAACGGAAGAGCACCTGCTCGCAGCCTCCCTCCTACAGTGGGGGCTTGCCTCTCTGGCTCCGATTCCAAGGAAGCAGTCCATTGGCAGCCTGGCCCAGAGGCACTTACCAAAGGTGGTGAGATAGAAGGACAAGTTGGGGTGGGCGCGCCGGCTCCCGAGGGAGACGCGGTGCAGGGAGCGCTCCATGGCGTCCCTGTTGCGGCCAGGACAGAAGGGCCTGTTCCCAGGCGGTGGTTATGTGGGTGCAGGTAACCCAGGCAGCAGGCTCAGCCTTTCTGCACCTCGTCAGCGTCTCCCGGGCGAGCGGGATCCGGGGCCCAGCCGCTCTGCGCGTTGGAACGGCCGGGCGCGCCAGCCCCTGATTGGCCCGCGCCGGTTTGAATGGGGAGATTTCCACCTGACTTGGCTGACGCGGGCCAGATCCGGGGAGGCGTGGGCTCCAGGAGCAGGGAGAACTGCCACCAGCCACCAGAGGTGGCTCCTATCCCCGGTGATCCCGCAGGAGCCCTAGATCCAGCAGCCACACTTCAAACTGCAAATGTTAACCCCACTATGGCCCCGCAGCCTGACTTGCCCACTTGAGGAAGCTTGGCCTGCTCGACCAGCTCCCCCAGGCTGCAATTAGTTAGGTTTGTAACCGGCTTTGAAGCTCAGACCTGTAATCGCCAAACCAACCTAGAGCAAAGGAGTGTCTGCCCTTCGGAGTGGTCCGTGAGGGCATGAGAACCGGGAACATGAAGCTGCACATAGACAGACTGCTCAGCACCAGGCTGCAGCCTGGATTGCTCTCTTGAGCCTTCTTTTGCAAGAGAGCAGCAGCCTGGCACAGATCCAGAGAGGAGCAGCTTGCTCCATACAGCCTCGGGGCTTCCCATCTGCAGCCTGGCGCCATCAGACAGAAGAGCAAGCCTCGCCATCTGCAGACATAGTGCAGGGTAGGGCCTTTCAATCTTCCCAACCTGGCACAGGAAAGCAGATAGAAGGAAGGTCAATCCTTGCATGGATTTGTCGGCAAACATTCATGAGACACCTCGAGGGAGTGGCTTCACACCAAGACATCTGCTCTGTAAATCTTACTGCCACTGTGGGAAAGAAAGCTGTTGGTCTCATGTAAACCTAAAAATGGGATGTGTTAACGTTTGTTGTTGGTCCCCTGACTTCATTGCCAGTGAATATTTGTGGTTCTGTGAGCCACACAAGATGGGGCCGTGAGGGGGAGAGGGATGCAAAAAAAAAGTATATAAAGTGCCAGGAGCCGAGCTGAGCAATTCACACATGTCGTTTAGACTTCACAGTAAGCTGAAAAAACTATTAGCTCCAATTTGCCAGGAAGGAATCAGACCGGTAGGCAGAAAGGGAAGGCAGCTTGCCCAAGATTTGCAGCGCTAGAAACAGGCAGAGCTGAAATTTAAACTCAAATCTATCTGTCCCAAAGACCATTACCCTTTGTTCTTCCATGACCTCCACACATGAGGACAAGAAATTGGGTATCATAAGTTCATCTGGCCAGGAGAGTGAGGTGGGGTGGGGAGAGTGGAGCAGAAACTGGAGAACTCTACACCCGAGGTTAGCTAATACATGGTCAAGTGCAAATGAGCCATATACCGTACAGTCCATTGGATTATTTGAAGCCTTCTATTTTGTGAAACCCTGTCTCGCCTGTCACCTGCACCACATCCCCCCGAGCCACAGATACTATGCTTAGCAGGAGCAGCCCACCCTCCTAGCCCTAACCCGCTGGCAGATGGATTTACCTGCATCCTGCACTTGGGCATGCCTGATCCTCCTCTTAGGTGGGTAAGTCTGAGTGCAGGCATCTTTTCTGGACAAGGAAGTATCCTGATGTGACCTCTCCATCCAGCCAGAGAAAATGGACAGCTCCAGCTTCAAACAATGGATGTGAACAAGGGACTGAGTTCCATAGTGCTGCAGACCTGAAGGAGCAGAGCAGACATTACATACGCCCCCTGCAAGGAGTGTTCAGTCCCAGTGAGAGCTGTACAAAACGGATCATGTACCTCATATAAATATGCATTCTCTATATGTGCGACACACATGTGCACACACACATACGCACACACTATACATGCTCCTGATGTGCAAGAGCACACATATATACCATACATGTGTATACAAAACCCACTTCAATATACCACACACATCCACCATATTAATAGGAACAGATTGACTGTAGCCTGGCTTCGTAGGAATCAGAAAGGTTTCAGCTTAGAAAGGAGGAGCTAAAAAAGATTAATTTGGGAACATTTTCACACTAACTAACATAGAGTAACATATCTTCTTGCCCAATAACCAAAATATTTTTTTAAAAAAAATAAGATGTTTGGACTACCATGATGGTTCATTTTAGTTGTCGGCCTGTTTTGGAACCACCTGGGACAGGAGTCTCGGTGAGAACCTGTGTAGAGGGGTTTTCTTGGTTGGGGTAATGGAGGTGAGGACACTCACCCTGAGAGTGGGCCACACTGTTCTGCTGGCCAGGCCTGGAGTGGGTGAAAGGAAAAGGATCAAGCACCAGTGACCCTTGCTCTCTGCTTGACATGGAAGCCACGTGACCCATGGTCTCCTGCCCCTGTGAGTGAGTTCTCCCACAGTGATGGACTGTGACCAGAACTGTGTGTGAGAGAAACCCTTTCTCCCCTAACTTGACTTTATCAGGGCACTTTAATCACAGTGGTCTAGGGACGTTGTAGCTCAGTTAATAGACGGTTTGCTTTACATGCAGAGACCACTGGACTCCATCCTCAGCACCATAGTAACTGGGTATTGCATTGATCACCTGGAAGATGGAAGCAAGATAAGAAGTTCGAGGTTAACCCTAGCTGCACAGCCATTTCAAAGCCAGCCTGGGCATGAGACCATATCTCTTAAAAAACAAAACACAGTGAAACATTTTTTAAAAGATTTATTTTTTTAAAGACGTAGTAGGTTTCATTTATCTATTTATTTATTTATTCATTCATTTATTTATTTAATGAATGTACATGAGTACACTGTAGCTGTCTTCAGACACACCAGAAGAGGGCATCAGATCCCATTACAGATGGTTGTGAGCCACCGTGTGGTTGCTGGGAATTGAACTCAGGACCTCTGGAAGAGCAGTCAGTGCTCTTAACCGCTGAGCCATCTCTCCAGCGCAAGGTTTATTTACTTTATGTGGATGCATTTTTGCCTGCATGTGTGTATGTGCACCGTTTGTATGCCTCATGCCCACAGAAGCTAGAAGGATGCATTGGATCCCATAGAGTAGTGGTTCTCAACCTTCCCAATGCTGCAATCCTTTAATACAGTTCCTCATGCTGTGGTGTCCCCAACCACAAAATGATTCATAAGTACTTCATAAGTGTACTTTTGCTACTGTTATGAATCACAATGTAAATATGTGTGTTTTCCAGTAGTGGGTGTCTTAGGTGACCCCTGTGAAAGGGTCCTTTGACCCCCAAAGGGATCTCAATCCATAGGTTGAGAACCACTGCCCTAGAGCTAGAGTTACTAATGGTTGTGATTCACAGAACCAGGTCCCCTGTAGCAGCAGCAAGCTAGAGAGCCGTCTCTCTAGCCCCCAGCACGGCGGCAACCTTTTTGTATCAATTTATAAGTTCAAACGTCTGGGGGAAGTGAGTGGTGTTTAGGACAGAAAACCGTGGGAAATGTCAAGGTGTCTACCTACAGATCTGACAGATGTTCCTTCTCACATTCAGGTTGGTAATGTTTACTAGGTCATCAGCCAGAAAGAAATATGTAAATGCAGAAATTCTCTTACTGACTTAGCAACCTGATTCAGGTGACAACTCTGCACCTTTGTTGCTTCGAATATCAATATAGGCTTCCTGAAGGCAAATAGGATCAGATGACTTCATTTTTTTATTTTTAGAACCTAATATTTTATGTATTAGTGATATTTCTTATAAAATGATAATTCACATTCTTTGATGCATTTGTCTCATTTCTCTTTATTGGTTTGTAAGTTTTTGTTGTTGTTAATATTTGCCACGTATTTCACAATTTTTTTTAAACTTTTTCCCTTTTTATTCAGGATTGAGCCTGGGGCTACACATGCTAGGCAAGCACTCTGCTGCTGAGCTCTGCTGCTGGTCCTTAACTTGTTTTTCAGTTAGACATATTTATACCTTTTTCAGTGGCAATAGAACAATATTTACTTACTTGAGATAGCCTGTTATACTATGTAGCCCCAGGCTGGCCTCAAACTTGTAGTTCTCCTACCTCAGCTGCTTTAGTGCTGGTGATCCCAGGCTTGTACCAAGCCCAGGAAAGCTACTTATTTGCTTTTATTCATATCCAACCATTTGCAAGTGTACAATCCATTCTTAGTTCACCTGTTGCATGCAGACTGGCAAACAGCCAGATCTGGCTTCTTAGGCTGTAGTTTGCCAAGTCCCAAGTAATATACTCATTGAATTCAAACCATCTTTGCATTCCTGGAAGAAATGCCACTTGACCATGAACAACTGTTGGCTTTGGCTTGTTAATATTTAGAATTTCTGCATTTACATATTTGGAAATCAGGTTGGTTTGTGCAAAGATTGCAAACTAGTAATGTGGCACAGATGTATTATTTTATTTGGCCTATAGCCTATTTAAATTAGTTGTCAATATTTTTTTTTAAATGGGAAATTCACATTCAAATGGACTTACTTTCTAAGGAATGTATCAAAACTGAAAGCATTTTGGCCCAGTTTTATCGCCTTTTATAGATTTTTCTCTATGATTTGTCACTCATCTATAGGATTGAGCCTTACACTGAACACTGGGAATACAGAGTTTATAGGATATCAGGTGAGTGTTGCCACAGAGAAAACAAGGGTGACATTTGGGAGCAGAGAATAATACCTCATTTATTCTTGGCAGACCGGGAGTTGATAAAAGCAATCAGAGAATAATACCCAAAGGAAGTGATGTGGAGGGTGATTGAGTCGAGCAATCGCCGTGATGGGGGGCGGGGGGTGTTACAGGCAAAAGGAGCAAAGTGTATAAAGGCCATAAGATAGCAGATGCATCACAGATTGAGAAAATAAAGAATGTGATGCACAGGAAGGACTTTAGAGTGGGAGGGAGGGGTGACATCGCAGGTTAAACGTGGAACTTCACACTTTACTGTAAGGAACACAGAGGCCTGGGGTACAGACAGTGACAGACCACTTGCCTAGCATGCATGCAGCCCTAGCTTGATCTCCAGCTCCATGAAACAGAACAAAGGGAATAGGTATGAGCTTTAGATCCTAAGAGCATAGGGTGGTCACGGAAAGACTTGAATAGGATGCAGCTTTCCTTTACCTTTACACAGGCCTTTGTGGCTAGAGTTGGCAGAAGGGAGCCATGGGAGGAGATGGCATGAGGGATGGAAACAGAGTGTGCTTTAAGGAGGTCTTTACCCCAGACAGAGTTATTAAATTAACAGTCTGGCAAGCCAAGGACGGGTAAGATCCTGCACAGAGCCTTACCAGCCTAAGACAGAAGTGCATTGCTTTGGATGATGCATATTCCACAATGGGAAAGGAAGGCATTCTTGTCAGAACAACCTAAGACAGGCTCAGTCTTGTTAATGAAACAAAAAAAGGAGAGAGGCGGAGAGCCTTTGGGGCTGCTTGGCAAGAAGCTGACATGGGCCAAAGACAAGGAAGTAGGCTTCAGGCAGGAATCTGACATTAGGCTAGAACAAAGAAGTAATTTCAGGCAGGAATCTAAATATTAGGCTAGAACAAGGAAGTAGGCTTCAGACATGAAAATTACTTTGGGCTAGCACAGGGAAGTAGGCTCAGATGCTTTGGTCATCCTGATAAGCCCTTAGAAACAGGGATCATGGGAGTGTTCATAGAATTGTGTTTGTTGCCTTGCTTGTTCTTTGACTATTTGTGTTTATTGTCTTGCTTGTTCCTTAACTATTTGCATCTATTGTATTGCTAGTTCCTCAACCTAGAACCGACCTTAATACTTACATGTAATTAAAATGGTATAAAAGCAAAAGGGAGGAGGGGGATGGGGTGGGGGGGTTCTAGGGAGGGGAGATGGGGAAAGGGGATGACATCTGAAATATAAATAAATAAAATATCCAATTAAAAAAAAGAAAAAAGAAAAAGGAGGTCTTTACCAGACAAACACAAAAGAATGACATTCCCAAAAGAATGGCAGGGGTATCATTGGCAGAGCTCTCTGACCGAAAGGAAGATTGAATGCAAGGAATTCTGGCTTCAGAAAGAACATGTGCAGGGTTATCCTTTACAGAGATGTATGTAGTGCCTGGCGAGGAAAGCTGAACCAAGGGTAACAGCCTTCTGTGAGATTGTCCTAGTTAGGGTTACTTTTGCTGTGATAAACGCCATGACTAAAGCATCTTGGGGAGGAAAGGGTTTGTTTGGCTTAGGCCTCCACATCACAGTTCATCATCAAAGGAAGTCAGGGCAGGATAGAGTCAGGAGCTGATCCAGAGGCCATGGAGGGATGCTGCTTACCTTCCTGCTCTTACCATGGCTTGCTCACCCTGCTTTCTTATAGAACCCAGGACCATCAGTCCAGGGATGGTACCACCCACAGAGGGTCGGGTCGGGTCATGGCTCATCCTCAGTAATTAAGAAAACACCTTACAGGATCTTATGGAAGCATTTGCCCAGTTTTGAGGTTCCCTCCTTTCAGATGACTCTAGCTTATGCCAAGGCGACATAAAACTAGCCAAGAGGAGACAGCTAAGGGTGGGTTAGCTCTGTAGGGTCGATGTGAAGGTGGCAAGTGGGCAACTGAACGCTCTGGGCAGGTGCTCAGAAGAAATGCTTAGGCTAGAAATACTGGTTTAGGAATTCCCAGGAAAGCCACAGGAGTGGATT